ATAGCTTCCAAATAATTATAGTAATGTTATTAGGTCCTTAAAATAATTATTTGGGCTATTATTATTAGTTATATTGAGTGTTATTTAACGCTTATATAATAATAATAATAATAATAATAATAATAATAATAATAATAATAATAATAATAATAATAATAATCAGACTATTAATTTGCCGCGGTTATCGTTAGACTAAACCCTAGTGGTATTGGTACTAGGTTCTATCGAAGGAAAGTTGTTTTGAGAGTATCGAAGCGTTGTCCGAGTGTTGAGTCACCACCTTTCAAGTGAGTGCATAGTTAATAAACTTATTTATCGTGGGTTGAAAACCCTATGTGCTCACCAGGCTCCCAAGCCTAACCCACTCAGTTTCTTGTATTACAGGTAGTGGTGCATAAGCATAGATGTGATGTCTTGGGATGAGAGATTAATGGATTTTAGGCTTGTAAATACGGAATAATGTAGTAAGGTCTATGTTGTATTGTTTATACTTATGTACTGTATCGAACATGACATCCCGAGTCTTTTTAATGAAATACATTTCTATGGAAATGCTTTTGATAAATCTTTATCATAATATTGTTTTGGGACAAATTCCGCAACTCTTTTATTAAAAGATTACTCTGATTTTGAAATAAAGTACAAACAAAACCGGTTTTTTCTGGCCGTGATTTTGGGGATGTCACAAACCTAATCCTGTCCATATTCAGCCTGCCACATCCGCCACTGGTCCAGCGCAAACTTTTCCTATGCAGTTCCCACTTCTGTCCAAAACCGTTTCTGATCAGTCCCCTCAAACCTATATGGTTGCTCCTTCGGTTTCACATCCTTAAACAACTCCAAGTGATACAAACGCACCTTTTGGTAATGTTTCTTCCACTCATCATATGCAAACTCGTTCAAAATATAGAATTTTTAAATCTAAACATGCAGCTGATCTTGCTTTTACCACTCATCATCCTTTATGTTTGGCCTTATTTACCTCTCATGACCCTAAAGGATTTAAATTAGCAGCAAAAGATCCTAAATGGATGTTGGCCATGCATGATGAACTCAATGCACTCAAACAGAATAATACATGGGCATTGGTACCTTGACCTAAAGATAAAAATGCAGTTGGTTCTAAATGGGTTTTCCATACGAAATTTAACTCAGATGGCACTATTGAACGACTTAAAGCCTGACTTGTTGCTCAGGGCTTCACGTACGTTCTGGGTCTAGATTATGTACATACTTTCAGTCCTGTAGTCAAGGCTGCTACTGTTTGTATCATCTTATCTCTTGTTGTTATTAATCAGTGGGAACTTCATTAACTCGATGTTAAGAAAGCCTTCTTGCATGGGCATCTTAATGAGACAGTTTATATGGATCAGCCTCTTAGGTTTGTCGATTCCCAGTTTCCTGATCACGTTTGTATGGTCAAAAAGGCTCTTTATGGTCTTAAACAAGCTCACCGAGCTTGGTTTCAATGTCTAAGTGCTTTTCTTATACGTGATAGATTTACTTGGAGCAAAGCTAACACATCATTGTTTATTTTCAAACGGGACGCATGCATCATGTATCTTCTTGTCTATGTTGATGATCTTAAAGTGATCGGAAATCAAGAAAAAGTCATCACTTCCTTCATTCATCGATAGCACCAAAAACTTACGATCACAGATCTTGGTGACTTCAACTACTTTCTTAGTTTAAAGGTAGCCTATATTGATGATGGTTTATTCTTGAGTCAATCCAAGTATGTGCGAGAAATTCTTGAACGAGTAACCATGCTTGATTCTAAACCGGTTCACATGCCTCTTCCTCCTAATGAGACATTTATTTCAAATGGTACTTATTTTCACTCCCCAACCTTGTATCGATCTTTGGTTGGTACACTTTAATATTTAACCATTATCAGGCCCGATATTTCCTATTATGTAAACCAGGTTAGTCAATTTCTACAGGCTCCTATTGATATGCATTTTCAGTGTGTCAAGCGTATACTTCAATATATTAAAGTCACTCTTTCCTTTGGTCTCACTTTCCGAAAACCACCTAATGTTGTTATTCTTGGTTATTTCGATGATGATTAGACTTGCTGTCTTGAAACCAGGCGCTCTACATATGGTTATTCAATCTTCTTGGGTGGTAATCTTGTTTCATGGAGTGCTAAGAAGCAACCCACTGTCTCTCGATCTAGCTGTGAATCTGAGTATCAAGTCGTGGCTACCACTGCGGCTAAGATTGTTTGGATTACAGATTTACTGTAGGAACTATACACCTTGCCATCGGTTCGGCGAACACTTCTATGTGACAAGCACAGTGCCTTATTCTTGACTCGGAATCCGATCTCACATAAGCGAGCTAAATATATTGATTTAGATTATCATTCTATATGAGAGTTTGTTACTTCTGGCAAGCCATACACCAAATTTGTTCTGACCAAGTATCAGGTGGCAAACATCTTTACGAAAAGTCTTCCAAGATCGTAGTTTGAATTCTTTCGTGTCATGTTACGATTGGGACCACCACAGTTTCGCTTGAAGGGGGATGTTAGACTAAAATAATACTTTGTATATATCTTGTATTTATCTTATTCTTCAAGTACCACTATTGTAATTTATTGTTATATAACTATACATGTATCCCACCTATTTTTATGGTAAGATTTAGGACAATCACAAAATATTATAGCTTTTTTTTTGTCATGGGTTCCATCTTCATCGACATGTATTCTACTTTGTAGACCGTGACTAATTTATAAAATCTGGTTTATTATTATTATTATTATTATTATTATTATTATTATTATGGTTATTTTTGTTGTTGTTTTTGTTATAAAAACAAAATAAGAAAATAAGAAAAATCACTGCATATCATGATACTATATAAAGTTGGAAATCATATCATGATACTATATAAAGTTGGAAATAAGGCTAGATAATATTGAAAAATACAAGCTTATATAAGATAAGTTTGTAATAGAAAACCTCACACTATTCGTACATACCAAACACACTGTCAGAGTAAAAATGTTCTTATGGTTTACAATTGTTTAGGTATTAAGTCAAAATCTATTAAAACTTATAGAAAATATCATTTTTCAAATAAGTTTTATCGTGGATTTGATCATTAAAAAACTTGATATGACTATTTTTTTTTTTTACTTTTTAATTTACCTTTTCCATTATTTATAATGTTTTACTGTTTTTATTAATTAAAATATAAAATAAATCAACCCAAAACCATCCAACCCCGGTCTGCTCCTCCCCTTCCCATCCCTCTTTAATTTCCTGTCTAGTGACTACACTTGCCACAAAATCCTCTTTTTACCATAAACGTCTGGCATACAATGAAACCGAACAACTTGCTTGTAATACCATGCATGTGCGAGTGTGAAGAAAAAGATAGATGGTTCCCATAACCCTTAACAATAACTAAATTAACCATAATCACTTAAAATTCAAACTTTAACAATAACCATTCAGATGAGAAAAATCAAACAATAGATTAGAGACAAAAAACAAAGATATCAAAATATAGATAATTCATAAACAATATAAAAATCAAATACATTAGAGACCAAAAACAAAATCATGAAAATATAGATAATTCATAAACAATAAAAATCAACTAGAACCATTCATCATTAACAATAAATATTGTAATTTCAAAACATATATAATGAAAAACCAGAAACATTCTAACTTTTAGCATACATATTGCAAATATATGTGTAATCACCATTCACCTGGTGAGTGGGTGTGTCCCATTTTGTAGAACGAAATTGAACTAGGTTGAGATTTGAGACTAGAGAGGGTGGACCCTAAATAGTGAGGCATAATTCCACAGAAGGAAAAGCGGTATTCATCAAATATGGGATGTACAGAAAGAGAAGAATCATCGACCATCGGCTAGGAAGAAATCGGCAACACCGCGAAACAGGGTTCGTCACATCTTGTTAGAATCACGATTTGGGTTTGGGGGACGAGTCTCGGAGTGTGCGGCGTTGACACAGTTTATGTGGGTATTATGAATTGGATTAGGTGGAAGATGATATGATTTAGTACTTGTGGTTAAAATTTGTGGGCAATGGAAGGGGTTGGGGTGGGGAGATTTATCTTAATTTTTTTTATTAATAACAATGGTAATTCAAGTAAAGTTAAAAGAAACAAGAAATTAAAAGGATGAAATAAAATTTTCAAAGTTTCTCAAGAGACCAAATCTACATGAAACTGAATTTTCTACGAATGTTCAAAATTTATACTTATTCCTGAAAAAATGCAAACCATGGGGCCATTTATGTATTTTTTTCTTCATGCAATAACAATTATTTAAGGAAAATTAAGTAACTAGCTAGCCATTATAAATGATATTTTTTTTTTAAATAATCTTTTTTTTTTCAATTTATTAAAAATGACTAATACACTCGAATTTAGTATTCCAGAATGTCCGTATCTATTTATTTGGTTAGAAAAAAATACTACCTAAAATTAATTGTTCACATTTGAAAGTCAAATGACCTTAAATATATATATATATATATATATATATATATATATATATATATATATATATATTTGATATATAATATTTGATCCAAAATATATGAATGGATTGTATTTTAAATATCTTTTCATTGTTATAAGTTTCATTAAATAATATATAACACAAACAAAAATACATAGGATCAAAGTTAAAGAAAAAAAACTTCAAAAGTCAAAAATGGACAATTAATTTGGAACGGATGGAGTATATATATATATTTCTTAGTCGCTGTTTCCGAACTAAATAGATGTGTTTTTTTTTTTTTTTTGTTTGTTAAAAACAGTTATTTTGTTATTAAACATTAAATTATAATTAAATTGCTTTATTTTCCGTTATTTAATAGCTTTTTAGATTCCATTAGGATTAAAGTTAATCTTCAACAATAAATCTGCAAACATATATATACATAGATTCATTTTCTCGTTGATAAAAAAAGAGAAGCAGAGAAAAACGATACGCAAAGCAAAAGATGGGTGATGTGTTCGGTTGCCAATCCCAATCTTTGTTTTTTATTATGGATATTACATTACATTTATCGTATTTCCACCAAAAATAAACATATATTCAATTAGTTTTGACACCAATAACAAAAAACTATAGATACTGATAATAATATATTCATTTTTTCATCACTAAGTAGTAACTACCCATGGGCCATGACCTAGCTACTAATAACCTCCACGTCGCCGCTTTACATGACGGAGCATCCTTGTGCATTTTCTTCACTAAAGTATTCATTACGACTTGCATTTCCGTTATACCCGTGATCATATCCACGTACATGTCCATATCCAGACCCGTACCCATACCCGTATCCAGGTGGCTGTGGTGGTACCACGTAGCCTCCACCATGACACTCGCATCCATATCCGACCACATGGTAATTTGGTGGTGGATACCCAGCCGCCATTCTTGCCATCTCCGGTTTTGGATCAGGTTTCTTGACTACCAGCGGCGCTTGATCTCCTTTTTCTTTGGGTTTATCAGCAGGCTTCGGATCCTTCAGCTTTTCAGCAATTACTTCTATCTTCTGAATCGAGCTTCCACCCTTGTAACAGAGTTTATCCCGGATCATCTCAGGGCTACCGCAAACGACGATGATCTTCACCTTGTTATTGTACACATCGTATTCCTGGTCCCTTATTTCTGTTTGTTTTCATAAACACAACATGACGAATTCAGCTTCATCGATTCATTGTATATAAGCAAATGCGATTGTGGATTGGAAAAAGGAATAATTAAGTGACTGACCAGGGATTTTCCTGATGATTTTCTTAACCTTCTTGTAGCAGTCGGAGCACTTGAGGTCAACATCCAGCACCATTATGGTTACCTTATAATATTAATGAATACAAGTCAATAAACCATGATGAAAATGGGAGATGGAATTATATGCATCATGCATGCATAAACCTTATGGTAAAATGTGTGGAGATGCAGTGAATGGAAAGAATTAGAAAAAGAATAGGAATGATCAGTACCTTCTCAGGAGCCATTAATGGTGCAGATGTTTGAGATCCGGTGGCGAAGTGAATGGAGGTTGAACTTAAAGTGTATTGAAATTAACCAAGTAGAGAGGCATGCATTGATTATGCATCGTTGTCACTACATTTGGATGGAATCTTCCATGTTTTGGTCATGTCGACACACCAACACCCGCGTACGAACGCGGACAACTAATCATCTGTATTGTTGTCACTATAGTTGATTACGATATACTTGTCAGAGTTAGAATAAGGTTCAAAAAAAACAATCAAGTTATATATTTGTGCAAAGCAAATAACCAATCTGAATCTGTTAATTTGTCACTTATTAAATGGTTATAAAAGTCATGTTCCCTAAAAATCACGATCCCCAAATTTCTTTTTTTTTTTTTTTTTTTTGCGGCACAGCAAGCGATATATTAAAAAATGAAAAGATAAAACTCAAGCGAGAAGCTCCAACACAATTACATGAAGCAATTTAAGATGCACTACTGGAATCTAACCTATGCCGACGATTATTTTAAACCTAAGCTAACGACAAATACCCTATATCAACGACAAGTCATGAGAGTCATCATCATAGGTGAAAAAAATTGTCCCGATAGATGTTGTTGGAATAGGTATACCCAATATTGACGACATATCATTGACACGGAGTCCGTCTTGACTGATTTTCAAGAAAAAAAAACAAGTTTTATTATTTACTTTTGACCGATGACAAGTCGTCAGCATAGGTCAACTTTATACCGTTGACATGTCATCGGGACACGTGGACTCTATGGTGACGACATGTCATTGGCACAAGGAATTTTCTTCATATTAATCGCATAGTTACGTAATTGTCTTTGAATCCAGATTACTTGCAAAGTTCAAACAGCAGCAACAATATACTCGGCCTCTGCTATAGATATTGATACACTTGTCTGCTCTTCGACTGCCAACTCACAAGCTTGCTATCAAGAAATTGACAACAACAGTTGTACTTTTCCTATCAGATTAACAACCTCCCAAGTTTGCATGAGAACACGCTTGATTGAAAAACCTAATGTTTGTTGGATACCAAATCCCAAGTGTAGGAGTTCGATGTAGATTTCGAAAGATATTCTTGATAGCAATGAGATGCGGTTCCCTTTGGGTTTGCTTGATACCTAACATAATTACATAGAGAAAACATGATATCAGGTCTACTTGTTAAACGTAAATCATGTTTCGATATGTCTTCAAATCAACCACAGGTTTGTCTAACGAAGGGCTCAAGCAAGTGCCACTTGTCATTGGAACCTTCGCATCGAAACAATTTGTTATTCCAAAGCGTTTAAGTAAATTCTTTGTGTATGACTCTTGATTAATAAAATTCCTTCTTTGTTTTGGTCGAATGTTCAAACCTGAGAAATAATTGATTTTACCCATCATGCTCATCTCAAATTGACTTCTCATCAAATCCTCAAATTCCTTCAATAAAGTAGATTCAGTAGAATCAAAAATTATATTATCTACATAAATTAAGCAAGCATGAGACGATCCCAATTTTCTTTCAAAATAATGTGGGATCAACTAATCTTTGCTTAAATTTAGAGATTTTCAAAAAAATTGGTAAACATTGCATACCAAGCATTTGATGTTTGTTTTAAATCATAAACAACCTTATCAAGAATATAATAATGATTATGAAACTTAACATTTACAAAGTCTTGTGGTTGTTCAACATAGATAGTTTCTTCGAATACCCCACTGATACAAAAACATAGTTTGTGATCGATTATTAATATCCTACCTCTTATAAAACTTTCATCATTGATGTAAAGAAATTACATTTCAATGTGATGTGCATTAAAAAACACAAAAAAACAACAACAAACAAACAACCAAACAAAGTGATTGACAAAACAATCATTTATGTCATGCGATTTATCTAATAAACATAAATAAATAAAAACAACAAAAAAATATTGATGTATATAAAAACTATCGACGTTGAGGCCCTAAATGAAGGAATACGTGCTCACGATTAGGCCAAATCGCCATCAGTTGTTTGTTAGAGAATTCGGGTGTGTTTGGCACGGAGCTTTTTGGAGTTTCTAGCTTTTAGTTTTTGACTAAACGTTCTAGTTTAAACAAAAAGCTTCATTGGATAGTATAAGCGTTTAGCTTTTAGTTTAAACAAAACGCTCCAAATCTAAAAACTACTTCATGTAACGTTTAACAAAACGCTTCTGAGCTTTTAAAATCAATTTTCATAATTACCATTAAAAATATATTTATATATTTATTTATTTTTAATTAATTATCCTTTTATGTAATTTTATATATTTCAAAAGTTTCCAGCTACTTTTGCCAAACACTCATATAATAAATAAAAGTTACAGTTTTCTGCTAACAGTTACCCGTTACCCACTACTCGCTTCCATCTAACAGCTAGTTTTCTTAAACACGCCCTTCGTCTTCTCAAGAGCTTTCCATTGTTTACTTATATGTTTATAATTAAGGCTGTGCTGAAATTAAATTGTTTTCCCTTGTGTTGTTCCTCTTACACATATTCATTAACTTTGGAAATAATTAGTCGACTTGTCACTCATCTAGATAATATAAGGAAAATTAATAAATGGTGTACTGATTTTCACAAAATCAATCATACATCATATTTATAGAAAAGATAAGTGGTCCAATGCTAGGGTCATGGTCGACCTAAAATTGCATATAAATAATAGTATACGAAAAGACACGTACTATATACGGTGTCTTTGTTAAGAGTTGGAGGTGACGTTTTACAAAATAATACAAATAAAAATACATGATTAAACATGGCAGAGAATAAACTCGCAATATTATTTGCTAGCTTTTAAGTTATAAGTAAAAAAAAAAATCTCCATTTAGAGATCGACGATTAGGCCAAAAATCATCGGTTGTGTGTTAGAGTCTTTGGCCCCTTGTGACATTTATATGGTCTACTCATCATTGATACATATTAAAAATCAGACTAAGTCGAAACTGAACCATATTTCTTTATGTTTTCTTCATGATATAGCTATTCATGGATTCTTAGACCAATTACTTGTTGCATTCATGACAATATAAGCAAACTAATAATAGGTGTATTGATTTTACACATTATATTTACGAAAATGACAAGTGGTCCAAATGTTATGGTCATTCTCATAGTTTGATGTTACTTTTTGTTTGACATTTTAGGATTGTAATACAACGTGTCATTCCTTGATTTATATTGCTATAGCATGATGAGAGGTATTTTTGTCACCATTTCCACCCTCATCGACATGTATGTATACCTGGTATACGTGACATATGCATAAAATCATCATCTTTATTATTATTATTATTATCATCATCATAGAAAATATAGAAACAAGAGAAGAAGGTGTTGGATAATGATTTAACAAGTTTTTAGATTATATTTACCATTAAAAGTAATTTTCATCAATCAATCAGGAAAAATATATATATAGATTCATTTTGTTGTCGACAAAAATGGAACTAGAGAAGACGGTTACGCTAAGAAAATGATGCAGGGACATGGTGATGCGTTCCATTGCCAATTCCAATCTGTGTTTTTTCTTTCTTGACAATCTACTATAAAAAAAAATATATCTAGTAATCAAATTTCCACACAAAAATATATAAATTCAATTAGTTTTGTTACAATACCAAAGAAATAATATTATAATAACTATAATAATAATAAATTAATAATACATCTATTTTCAACGTTAATTAGTAATTTATTATTTACCCACCTAATATCGATGATTTTCATGTTTCAAGATATGAAATGGAATCAACAATCAATAAGACAACAACCACTTTACATTACGGAGCATCCTTGTGGATTTTCTTCACTAAAATAATCATGACGATTTCCAACCCCATTATACCCATGATCATGTCCATACCCGTACCCATATCCATACCCGTATCCGGATGGCTGTGGAGGTGCCGGAGGCGGATAGCTTCCACCATAACCCTCGTATCCATATCCGACAACCGCGTAATTTGGTGGATACATTTGTGGATACCCTTGAACCGGTTCCACCACCATTTTTGCCACCTCCGGTTTAGGTTCAGATTTTTTGGGTTGCGGCGGCGGCGCGTCTCCTTTTGCCGCTTTGGGCTTCCCGGCGGCATCTTTGGGTTTATCTTTATCTGAAGGTTTGGAGTCTTTGGGCTTTTCAACAACTACTTCTATCTTCTGAATCGAGCTTCCACCTTTGTGACAGAGTTTATCCCTGATCTTTTCAGGGCTACAACAGACGACAGTGATCTTCACCTTGTTTTTTTCCACATCATATTCCTGATCCCTTATTTCTGTTAATTTGTTTCCATAAACACAATACGAATTCAGTTTAAGCAAATGCGAGTGTGGATTGAAATTTGAAAAAGGAACAAGTAGACTGACCAGGGATTTTACAGAGAATTTTCTTAACTTTCTTGTAGCAGTCAGAGCACTTGAGGTCAACATCCAACACCATTTTCGTTACCTTTAGCAAATGCATAAACCCTAATTGGTAAATATGTGGGGTAGATACATGATACATGATACATGATACATGATACATGATACATGATACATCATACAGACATACATCATACATTACATACATATACATTGATTGGAAATGATTAGAAGACGAATTGGAAAGAGTACCTTCTCATGAGGCGGAGCCATTGGTGGTCGGAGATGTTGAGATCTGGTGGGGAATGGAGGGTGAAGAGAGATAGAGATAGAAATAGATAAAGTGTATTGAAAGAAAGGGAGGGGGCTGTTTGGTGTACTGTTAACCTAATAAAGAACTGCTTACATCTCATCAATGTGAAATGGAGGATCAAATGTCATTATGCTGATTATTTTATTAATTAATTGCAGGTTTTCACTGGTGTATCAATGATTATGTTGTAGTTTTTATTTGGATGGAATCTTCCATTCCATGTTCAGGCCGACTCTATCCATGTACACACACCAACACGAATACAGACAGCTAATCATTTAGATTTGATTGTCTGTATCTTTAAACACATTATATTGTGCTCATGATTTTTTATAATAGTCCAAGTGACAACTTTTAACAATACATTCCTTAAAACATAAGTTTTCATCTTTTTGAAGGCTAACATGTTCAATTATGGATTCCAATTTTCATGTATTTGAAACTATTAGAGCATCGAGAGAAGCAACAATGCTGAGAACCAGTATGGGGTTGCAAAATCTAGAGGATTGTTTTTT